TGGTGGGGGGGGGGGGGGGGGGGGGGAGTGCAGATCAGCCAGTATTTTAGGGAGGGATGTCCAGCACACACAGCAGTTTTCTAGTCTGGCAACAAAGAAGTGGCTGAATTTGTCCTGCTTGCCATTATGTACCCCAGAGCATAGCTACTAGTTTTTCAAACCTAGCTTCCAATGTTCAGGTTGGTAAGACTCAAAAGTATCTAGTTTCACCAGTTCTTGCATGTTTCCTGCCTATTGTTCTACCTGGGATGCTTTCTTCTGCTGGCCCAGCGGATGAGACTTGAAACATGGGCACCAAAATCAAAGTCTACGAACTCGAGCATGATCAGTGAAAAGCCGCAGAGCGTGTTTTAGTCTAAAAAGTTAAATAGAGAGTTGCGTATGCAACATATTCAGGTGACACACACATCTGGCTTCATTTCCCAGAGTCCAGCACATGCCCCAGTTTTGCAATATTTATGAAATTAGGTCCTGAGAACTTTTCAGGCTATAGGAGAGGGTTCAACATACGCCATCCTAAGTATCTAATTGTTGTTTCATTACTATGAATTACTGAAAAATATAGGGGAGTGGGGAATAGACATCTTTCCAGCCTACCAGAGCAGGCACAGGCAAAGGAACAGGGTTTGAGGGTAGGTACCGCCGAGCTTTCCGAATGGCAAACTTCTCTGTTGGCAGTGACTTCCCGGCAATTTTCAGTTTCAAACTGGGCACAGTCCTAGGAAGATTAAAAAACAAAAACATGAAATCATGTTTGCTCCTCTGACTAGGTGGAAAACCCTCACATCAATTTCAAAGACTGATTCATTGAGAGAGATGGACATGCACAGACCAAAGTCCCCTCCTGAGGAATATCAAATGCAGTGAAAGCTTTCTTGGAAGGAACTCTGAGAAAATACGGGTTCGTTGAGTAGTTTCAGTGTACAAATGGCAATCTGGGCGAGTCACAGGAAACTGACAGTAACTAATTTATGTTTGTATGGACCTGTGAGGGGGTATCCACCCCTCACAAGGCCTGAACAGGTTAAGGTGGCTAGTTGGGACATTCTGCTGCACCTGGGAGACAGGATTAATTAAACCTGGGTCAGCTGGAAGGGAACAGGAGTGACCTGTATAAAGCCCAGAAACTCAGAGAGGAGTGTATCTGCAGGGAAGTAATCTCCAGTCACTCCCTGGGCAAAGGGAGGTATGTTTGGGATTATTCCCTGGGAAGAGATAGTTTAGGCTGCCAAACCTGAGGAAGTGGGGATGGGAGAGACAGAAAGGCAGGAAAACTCGAAAGCAAATTCTGATGAAATATTCGCACAAATAAGCATCTTATACAGACTCAGTAATTTTTCCTCTCCGTGCCCACTACCAGATTTACATTTATTGCTGCAACCCACTTGAAAAGGTAAGGAAAGGAATAGTGTCTGATTTGGGAATTTCTAAATCTTACCTAAACAGTTCCACTTCATTGTCCCCGAAGGGTTTGTGATCATCTGGTCCAAACATACTGAGATAGGCAGCTTTCATGTAAATATAGGTAGTCTACAGTGAAGAGCAAATGCGGTCAAGGTCTCTTATACAGTAAATTGTATTTACAGCAGCAGCATTGATTTAGAAGCCAATGTGATACCGTTGAGGAGGGAAAGCTCAGCTGCTTTTCCTTGTAACTAAAGTAATATTACAACACACTTAAGGGGTGAGATATGTGCATAAGACTAAGTACTTTCCAAAGCGAGTTCAGACGAGCACATGTAGCAATATCTTTTACTGCTTGATTTGCTGTGTTTGTACCAGTTTTTATTTCCATTCCAAAAAAGAAGCTTCCCTATTAAAGATAACTAACTAGTGATTAATCACATAAAATCTCCTGAGTAATTTACACAGCCAAAATTGCAAGGTGGTAGAGGATGTTACAAGTAAGGGGAGAGTATAATAATTCGTTACAACCTAAGTGGTGCTGTAGTGGCAGATGACAACAATCATAATAGGACATGGAATTTATGCTCGAATGGGGTTTTCAGCAATCATGCACTTTTTAAAGGCCAGTTCTGTGACGGGCTATTGCCCTTGGCTCCCATGCATCCAAATGCCCCTCTATTTCTCATTTCATGCTGTTGTTTAGAGTTTAATTCATGTTTTTAACAAACATTCAGCCTGTAATCCCCAGTTCTGTGCCCTCAGAACTCACGTGAAGGTATTTCTCAACATGAGCCCTACCATCTCTTATAAACGCCTTAGTCTTCACCATCAGAGTTTACTAGAGCCCCCAGTACATGGGGTCTGCTTTCCCTGTTCTGTACAGCGACTTCCAGGATGGAGCCAAAAGAACAGACATTTTGTCAAGATTCGGCTTGCCATGTGCCTGACCATTATTGTCTCTGGTGGGAGAAGTTGTGGTGACTGCAGAATAAGCAGAGGCAAGGCCTCTCAGCACCAGGGATCCATGAGGAAACCTCACATTGATTTAGGCAGAAGCCTTGAAGCATGAATTGCTGCCCCGCTGCAGTTGTGCCGGCTCCCATGTTACCTCCTGGTTGCTTGACCCGCAAGAGCTGTGACAAGGCCAATGCCTGGTTCCATCAGCTGGTGACTGAAGAACCTGACTGAGGGGCTGCTGCCATAGGGCTCAGGTAAATGAGGGGAGGGGGAAGATAGTGTCACAGAGACAACACCTCCTTCCATTTCACATAGATCTACTGACAAGTGGCACCACGTCATCCCTTAAGCCAAGGAATTTGCCCCGGTTACAGTTATTACCAAGTAGGCACCATCACGTTTAACTCATTACAAAACACCACCTTCCACATTGGCACCAAAACAGCTCATGTTCTTTAATGTAACGGCAATAAAAGATATAACGACCTGCTGCTAATTACACAGTACATGACAAAACTCCTTGGCCAGTTGATTGGCCTTTAGTTAAATTCTCAGATCTGAAATCTACCCGTATTCTTAGATTACAGGACAAGCATAGAATTCCTGCACTTGCTCTCCCTCTGTACATGGTCCCGATGAGCCAGAGCGAGCCAGACTGTGTTTCACTGCCCTCACCCTACGACAGGCCTGGCTAAACCCAATTAAAAATTTACACCCACGCTTTGGTTTCTCGTTTGCTAACGGCTTGGTTTTCATTCACTTCTGCTTACCTTTGACCAAACATTTTCTTTGCTCAGCAGATCAGCATAGAAATAGGCCATTTTCCACTGGCGCTTGTAGGTGAAGCACCACATCAGTTCCCAGTAGCACATGTGATGAAACTGCTTCCAGTGCTGCTGAGCCTCACAGCATTCCTCGAACCTGCCAATGGCCTGAACAAAGGGAAATCCCAATATAGCCACAAGCATCATGAGGAAAAAACAAAAACAAAACCCAGGCTTCATAGAATATATGCGCCACCTTGTGGCTATTTGGTAAACAGCACTGGGACCCAGTCCTGCTCCATGGTGGGGAGTGCCCTCCAGTCTAAGGGTGTGTCTAGACTACCGAGTTTTGTCGACAAAAGTGGACTTTTGTCGACAAAACTATACCAGCGTCTACACTACCGCTGAGTTCTGTCGACATAACGTCGACAGAACTCAGCAGTTTTGTCGACGCTGGTATACCTCATTTTACGAGGCATAACACCTTCTGTCGACAGAAGGTGTTATTGCCTGTAGGGTTGCGTCCAGACTACGGGGTTCTGTCGACAAAGCAGCTTGCTTTGTCGACAGAACTCAATGTGTCTGGACGCTCTTTGTCAGATACTGTCGACAAAACTTCCGTTGACAAAACCCGGTAGTCTAGACGTACCCTAAGTTAATGGGAGCTGAGAGTGCTCAGCATTTCAGCCCGGTGACTAGGCAGCAGGACGAGACCGCTGACCACACATTCATCCTGGATTATCAAGTTTGTCACCTAAAGTCCTCCTTATGCCTTAATGTTATTACCTAATGCTGAGCGTAAGTGAACAACAGAGCAACAAGAGGAGTTTGTGGTGCAAGTGGAGACTAGGAAATTAAAGTCTGAAGGACAGCTCCAAAGCTGGTGTATATTTTCAAAGCTCCATTGAGCAGTACAAGAGAGGGTGACACATTCATCACTCACACGCATGCTTCATTATCCAATGTTTCAGAGCTTCTGTCTCAAAGCAGCCACACAGCTTGACATCAGGTCGGCAACTATCACTCAGCACTATGGCGGGGGAGGAGGGGAAATTCTGCTGAATTTAATTGCATCTGCCGTTTGACTAGAGCAATCCGTTCTGAAACACCACCTCAGGCTTCCTTTTCAGGACAGGGTTCCTGGATTGCACATCAGCATGGGGGCCCAACACTTCAAAGGGCTGTTGCAAAAATATTATTTCAAAGGGGTTTTGCTTGAACTTGGGCATTTTCAAGGTAGCGGGCTCTCGGACCAAAATGCTTAAGCCCTGGTCCAATCAAGTCATTAAAACAAATCACAGATGGTTAGTTTATGTTGTTCAATTAACTGAAAGCAGTGGGTAAAACCATTCCAAGCAACTGCCAGAGTAAAACTCCGGCTTTGTATCTATGCACTTAAGACACGGAGCCCCATGAGAGAGTTCAGCATTGGAGATGGACTTGCCCAAAGTTGAGGGCAATTGGTTTTGGGGTGTCAAAATATGGTTAGAAGCCTAACTTAGGCTCCTATTTTTTGAAATCTTGGCCAGACTTTATGACTAATACGGAACCATTGTTCTTGAAGGTTCTCTTCCAGGGAGAAAAGGATTACTTACTGTATCAATATTGCCTTTTATTGTTTCTATTCTGCCCGCGAAAAACAGGAATATGGCTCCCTGTAATAAACAAAAGCAGCCATGAATAATTTTCATGCACCTGATACATTCTAGCTACAAAACAGCTACAAATGCTAAACTAAATTAGGATTCATCTTACTTTTGGAAAGCGAGCCAAGTAAGGTTTGAGTAGTCTTTCTGCCTCTTCAACATTTCCTTTCCCTGTGCCTAGATTAGTTGAGTAAAACAATGCAAATGATTAGAAGGAATAGGATGCAGCAGCTGTAAGTTCTCCCGTACAGTAGCAGGTAAGTCCAAATGTAGGCCCTCATTTTGTACCACTTCAGACAGATCAGAAGGGGGCACAAACAAATGGTGTTTACATAAAGGTACCATAATTCTGTGCCAGCAGAATCTCCATTCGATGTTGCTTTCTCCTTCCATCCCCATTCCCTGGGTTCCTCAATTTTGTGCAAGATAGAAAAAGAGAAGGAAAGTGAAGCAGGCAGGATTTGATCCTGATTGCCCATGCCTTGGCTTCTGAATGGCCTCAGAGCCATCCCCCATTTCCTAATGCCATAGCAACCTTATGACCATAAAGAGTGGGATTGGAACAGACCAGGTTTCCACAGGGCTACGTTGCACAGCTTTTGCAATTGCAAAAGACTATGAGGCCAGAGTTGAGGTATCAAATGTCATTTTTTCCCAGGAACATTTAGCAATTATTCTAAAAGCTAGCAGTATTTTTGCCTAGGCCTAGCCCGATGGGGCTTTGTCAAAGAGTGTTTCGGGAGTAGGCCATGAGCAAATGTATCATTTCAATGGGAAAACACATCACCCTAAGATGGCAAGGGTGACAAATTAATACGAAAACAGGATTTAGCCAATCTTTTCACTAGGACTTTTATTTTAAACTTCCAAAATAGCTCACTTGACCACAGGAAATGTAACTTGTTCTTGTGACCTCTTTTTATGGTAATACCCCAACTATCGCCTCAACCTCTACACCCCCCCGCATGTCTTACATGAGCTTCCATCTTGAAGAAAAAACCCTTTCCACAGGGATGACAGTTATTGCAAAAATCAGCCACTAGAAATTATCCAACTCTGTGCAGTCTAGGTTTGAAGGAACAATTCACCAACAGGTTTGCAATTTAACCACTTCTTCCCTTTATTTCCCAGCAATAACCGAGCAACTGAAAGGACTATTACAGGATTACAGTAAATAAGCCTACCTAACACAAAGGTCATGAAGGTATGATAGCACAGTAACAGCATGGTACACAGCACCGACCTAAAGCTGTACATCGAGGCTCCCTCTTCAAGCTGCAACAGACCATACTCCTGTGCAAAAATCAGAGAAGGAAGACAAAGTGCTGTAAAGCAATGACCGTGCTATTTTGCTTTAAACTTATGTCCTATCATTTCTAGCTTTGCTGGCTGTGCAAACACATGGACTGCATTGTGTATCTACCGCAGTGACACCAGCTGTTTACAGCACTACTATAGGAGAAGACACAGCAAGGCAAGTTACTGTCGTTTCCAATGAAGTTATCATTTGACTTTTGCAAAACATCATGGGGCCGAGCAGTGTCTCGGGGATAACTACACAGTTCTCAGGAGAGAGTGCAGCAATGCTTAGGAATTACCAGCACCGCCCCACAGAGCTAACGCCATTTCTGAGAAATACAATACACCCAGTTGGGCAGAACCTCCGCAACTGGCACAGGTTACCAGAATGCAGCGCAGCAATGCTCATCACACAGTGGTGACATGAACAGTTACTGCCAAGGTAATATAAACAAATTGGCCGAACACCAGTGATGGGGCTCACCAGCGGTGAATGGGGTGAGATTTCATGACCTACAATATGTAGGAGGTGAGACTAGATGATCTCATGGTCCCTTCCTGTCTTATACTATGAATATATTACATGGCACAATATATGTTAACACAATACATGTTATACATGGTACAATATATGTTAATACTTCAGAATGAAAGACAGTACAACTGGAATCGCGGAGCCTAAGGCCTCACAATGACTTGCTTCTTGACCTTCCTTTAGCCTACTTGTGCCTCAGGCTTGTTTGTCTGTACTATGTGCGTATCATTGTTTTGTTGTGTTCAGATTTTATACAATGCTCTTTATCACTGAACACCATAATACTTGCATATCTCAGACACACTGAGGGACGTCCTTACTTAGCAATAATAAAGACTGAAGTAATGCTTGGAGAGAGAGAAAGTAGTATTGTAAAACTACTATTGCGAATATAAGGAAATAACAGGCTCAGGAGTGTTGCAAAAAAACCTTTCAAGCTAACTCTTGCTTATTTCTTGCAAAACATTTCTTTCCTGTACAAGACCAAATGTAAAAACCAACAGAGTGTTCACGAAGAAAGTTTATCTAGTACAGCCAGGTTGCTGAAGGACTGATACTCTATTCCTCCAAGAGGATCAAACCCAGAGTCTTCAGTACCAACCACACAAGTTGCTACTGCTTCAGCTGCAGAAGTAATTCCATAAGTCATCAGTAAAAAGCTGATCTAGTCTTAGGGAGTGAGGTCAGCCTCTAAGGGAGACTAGATCCAACCCACCCAGAGAGCAGATTCATGGTGTCTGAGGTGCACCATTCCTGGAATACTGCAATACCAGACTGATGCGCGGAATGGACGGAGCAAGTTCCAATTCCCTGTTCAAAAAAATCCATTGAATATAAAGTTCTCAGAGTTCTCCCATGCACAGAGATCATACAATGTGGGGTGGACAAAGGCAATGTTCAAAACCTCAGAACGGCTTGTTCCCATTTCAGCTGGCAGTTAAACTACATCTGCTTCCTTGAACAATGGAAGGAGCTCTCTGTAGCTCAAAAGCTGGTCCCGTCCACTAGGGATCTGTTAAGACAGTTAACCAGTTAAATGATTAACATTATATTGTTTAACTGGTTAACCACTGGCAGACGGGTGAATGGTAGCCACCACCAGGGTCCCACCTGCTAGTCTGGGCCCTTCAGTGGGGCTAGACTAGTGTCCCTGTGGCCCAATGTAGACATGGCCCCGCCCGCTGCCCCAACATGGGCAGGGTTCAGCCAGAAGGCTTGACGCAGTGAGGGCTGCTTTGGCCTGGCATGTCTGGCAATCCAACTGGTCACCTGGTAAGCATTCCAGTAAGCCCTATGCTTACTGGGTCACCAGTAACCTTTTACATCCCTACTTTCCACCAATAGAAGCTGATCCAATAAAAGATATTAGCTCACCTATCTTGTGTCTCTCAGATCCTAGGACCAACATGGGCACAAGACTGCAAACTTTTTAAATCACATTTTAAATTAAGAGTCTTGAAAAAGAAAGCAAAACACAGAGTTGCCTTTCTTGTCTCATGACTTGGCCATGTCACTGCAGACTTATTAACGAGGATGTATATTACCATTAGCTTATTTACAGAATTGATTAAATTGGGCATAAATTAAATAGAACACTTGAATGTGTTATGCAAGAACATTTGGGAGTTAACTTTATCTTAGCATCTGCAAAAGAGCAAAAAATGCCAGACAAAAGGATTTCTAGGGGGGAAATGATAACTCAATTACAAATTAAGACATACGTCAAAATTGATGCTCAGCACTACTGACGTGGTCAAATATCCTCCCACTTCAAGTTGACCTCATTAGTCCAATTTCCTGCCTTCTATGTCAATAATTATGCCTTTTGACCCATTGCCAAACTGCATTTAAGACATGGAGGATTATATCCTTCTGCTTGGGTTCCAGTGTTTGAGAACAAATAACTGTTCTTAAGTAATTTTGGGGTGCTGAGTTAAAAAATTATATCCATTTTTGCCCATAACATACAGATTTTCTGAAAACTGGAGTCTACTTTTTTAAAAATGCTATTATAATATGTTATACATTATATGCTGTGACTTATTTTCAAGAACTTGCATGCAAAAATACCTCAAATTAATTGAATTTGTCAAAATGAAAACCATCTAGCTTAATTTTGTTGAAGAGGATCACCAAATTATTATATTATAGGAGTAACAAAACAGAATGGTTTCATTGTTTTGTGTTTTGAATGATATTTACAACTGTATTTTCCACATTTTTCTGCATTTCTTCTGCATTTTTCAGGTAATCCCCTAACATGGCATCTCGAGGTTGCCTGAATACTCCAAAGAAGCAAAGACAGATCATAACAGATTTTGTTAGAAATGTACATCACTCCTACTTTGGTATAAAACTTGGGGATCAAGACTTTGGAACAAAACTGCCACAAATGTAACAAAATATGTCTGGATCATTCAGGCAACCTCGAGATGCCATGTTAGGGGATTACCTGAAAAATGAGGAAGTAGGTTTTGCCTACAAAAGTTCATGATACCATATATATTTTGGAGGGGCAGCCAGGTTAGTCTGTAACAGGAAAAACTTAAAACACAACAAATAGTTTAGTAGCACTTTAAAGACTAACAAAACATGTAGCTTTTGTGGGCACAGCCTACTTCTTCAGATGACCGGAGTGTTGGTCATATATATATCTATATCTATATATATTGTTAGTCTCTTGGGGTACGTCAACACAGCAGGGCTCAAGTCGAATTAAGCTACGCAATTTCAACTACATCAGTTGCGTACTTCAAGTCAAAATTGCTTAATTCAGCTTTTGGCACTGTCTACACAGCAGGAAGTTGAAGGAAGAACACTGTTCCTTTGACTTCCCTTACTCCTTGTGAAATGAGGATTACCATGAGTCGGAGTAAGAACTCCTCCAGCTCAACATTATTTCAAAATAAAGGCTTGTAGTGTAGATGCACACTGTGTTATTTCGGAATAATGTTAGTTATTCCGAAATAACGCTGCTGTATAGATGTATGTACCCTAAGGTACCACAGGACTACTTGTTGTTTTCTAGTTTGAATTAGCTGTCAAATGCCCTGAAAGGTGGCCCAGCAGCCAATATGTGAAGGAGCCCCAGATATATCCTTGTACACTAAAACCCAATTGGAGGAAGAGGGTTGAAGGACATACTACTTAATCCATATCACCTGAGGATCCAATGACAAAAGGGCATTCTTTGGCAGCCAGATCCTCTGCATATTTTGGTGGTTATTGTGGTGGAACTGGTCCCAGGGCCCAATTCTCCCTCCACAGGATACAAGTCCTACTAATTTCAGTAGGAATTTACAACACTGGGACAAGAGCTCTCCAGGCAAATACCTTTCTCTCTTCCTGCAAACCCACCCAACTCCCTGTGAGTAAGGCTAGTGAGTTTGCCACTACCAAGCCCTTTTCCTTCACCCCACACTTTCCAGGTATGTGCAAAGCCAATTACTCTTTGGAGAATTTACTGTTCTGTGCTGTTATTCAGCTCTAATTTACCCTTAAATGTCTCCTAAGAGCCCAGTAAGCAGTTGGTAATGCTGCTAGACAATTTCTCTCATTCGGCACTGGTCAGGTCCTGAGGGCACCAGACTAGATAGGTTCAACCTGTATTATACTTTGAACTTTTGCTTATCTTGTATTTTCCAAACATCATATCACTGTCCTCAATTTTAAAATGTTTACAAAGTTTTTTTTTTAAAGACCAAGAAAAGAATCCTTGAGCAGCACTAACTATAGTACCAGTGATGTAAATGCTGCAATATTCACCTTTCCAAGAATGGTAGACTGGTGATGTGGGGATCCAGATTCTGGCTGTCATGCATCGGCCACATTTATGACAATCTTATCAAATGAGAGATATTTACCTTGCTTCCAGAAAACCCGACAAACTCCAGTAATCGTAGAATCCGTGTTGGGAACATGGACAATGTCTGTGTAAAGAAACATAAATAAACTGAGCAGGAATTGGAATAGGAATTCTTCTCTCTTTCAACCCCAGTGTGCCTGACAGTGTCCCCACTGGCTGCATCTCATGTATCCTCAAGGATTAAACAGAGCTATCTATCAGCCTCTGTAACATAGTACATATGTAAACCCCTGTTTTCTAGGTAAAATTAATAGCAGCTCTGGATAACATTGGCTGCTGCATTTTGCAACATTCTAATGAATATTTCAATGGGAACTGCAACAATTAAATGTTTGCCAGATCCAGCAGGCAGAATATTGTTATTGATGTGTGACATGGACCACACTATTCCAAGAAACAGGAACTAATGTCGGAACAAGCCAATCAGCCATGAGTCTGATCTCACAGACACTTATTACTGGGCATACTTCTTCTTGCTGTAAGTAATCTCATTGGATGTAAAACAGGAAAACTGATACCATCCCTATATTAAAGTATACAAAGGAACACACATTAAATATGGATTCAATTCTTGTTATGCAACTGCCTGTATGGTAAATATGAACTCCTACAACTAAGCAATGAAATATTTGCAGTAGCATTTGAACCAAGTAAAGTGTAAATCGATGTAACTTATGCTGTTAACAATTGAAAGGCATATTTTAAATGGTCAATGCTAACAAAAATGATCCCCTTAAAAAGAGAGAGAGAGAGAGAGAAAGAGAGAGAGAGAGGAAATTATGCTTTTGGGGCGGAAGTGACAAAAGACCTGAGCTGTATTCATTGAGTACAGTCTATCAAATGAATTGGGATCTCCATGTGATGACACCCAGTAAGGCTGTATTAATAGTGACAACCACCATTTTAGTTTACAGGCTTTCTTCTTATTGTTTTAATGGGAGGGTCATGCCCATGCATTATGGGAAGGAAAGTGACATTAAAAGGATACTCTAAAGGGTATGTTGTACTCTGTTATACTTTAAGTGTGAGAACAATCATGCGTGATCAAATTGCTTCTGCTGTGACTCAGTTTCTAACTGACAGTCACAACAGACAAATGTTTAAAGCTCTGGAAGTTTACAGAAGGCTTCTCTAAGCACTGGACTGAACACATGCAGAATCAAAATCAGACTTGAGTACAACCTATATGGTACTCCCGGTTTTGGCACCACTAGAAATCATCTTATCATTCCAAAGCCTCTTCACCAATAGTGGGAGCAATACAGCATAGCTATTTATTCCTGTCCTTAGTTTGTTCCTCTATTAAGTGCTACCTGGTCATGTTGCTTTACAGGAGATCCTGCCATCTAGTTGGTGGCCAGCCTGTAGGTGTGACTGATCTTGGCTTCTTTTGCATTATTTCCCTTGGTATCCTCACATCTGTTTGCCTTCAGCTGTGTCCCCACCACTATAATCTCTTACATTATAACCAATCCCCTTCATCTCAGATCCTTCTGTCCAACTTCTTTTATCTTAAAAATCACTCAACTTTACACCTGCCACCTTTCAAAGAGCTCTCATCTCTCTCGTCTCCTGCCTTCTGATTCCTCAGACCCAAAAGTGCTGCACCAAATATTATGGAATAACAGGCTATGAACTAGCCAAATGTAAGGAAAAGAAATTCTCATTTCAAACGTGAGCAGACAGGGCTCACTTATCCTCTTTAGGCAAGTCTGTCTAAGAGAAGGAACACCCTGATTTCAGATCTGAACCGGGGACTAGTGTGGAAATACTGCTGCTTGTTCCTACCCTGCCAAGGGGCTGCAGCATTCCCAGGAGCTAGAGAGGGTGGATTCACCTAACCAGGCATTACATCCCAATCTTACTTGTTACAGTTTAAAAATGTGACCAATAAAAACATTCCCTCTCGTGGGATAATGGGACTTTCACTTCTGATATGGCATGAAACCAAGCTATAGAAAAGTGCACAAAAATAATTAATCAAACACCTGCTTATCAATCCCTCCTACACTCCCTCCTCCCAAATAAGCCAATTTAGGCTTATGAATTTGAAAATTGTTCAGACTAGGTTCTGGTTAGTTCTTATTTTATAGTTAAACTGATTAACCATCCCTGGTGAGGAGAAGTTTCAACACCTGTGGATTGTGCCTTTTGCCTGCAGGATTCCATACCACTGACAGTGTCCCCCAGTTCAATCACAGAGGGGTCTCAGACACATCCTCTGTAGGCTTTAGATATTGTGAGCATGCAGGGAGCTCTCCTGGGAAGACTGAGCTGTGATCAACTCTTGCCATAGGCCAATGACTCAGCACAGATCAGGCAACTCAAATGGCCCTGCATTCGGCTTCATCCTGACCACAGTGCTAGAATAGGCCCGAATCCTACAACGATTGCTGGGTGAATGCTTGCACTCACGCAGAGATGCCTTGAAGTCAGCAGTGCTCCATGCAAATACAGAGAACTGCTCGCAAACAACGAACTGTAGGATTGTGGCCCACAGCAGTTCCTCCGTATTTCTCTTTTCCGTGTAGAACGTTCACCCTTGATGTTTCTTAATCACATGAATACCTGCAGGTGCTGTAAACGGGCCGAGGGCTGGACCTGGCAAATACTCGCGCACTTCTAGCTTGGAACGCGAGCAGTTCCATTAAGCTCAGTAGAACACAGGTGTTTAAGGTAAGCATGCCTGAAAGCAGTCACAGGGGCGGGGCTTTAGGGAAGACTTCTTTTACGTACCAAATTGAAAGCTCCTATGCCAAGCTTTACGCCGCCTTCAAAATGGAGATGGTTCTTTCCTTTAACATAGTTTGGAGACTGTATAAGACTCTCCAGCTCCCTGGCAATACAGAAGATAACATTACGGACTACATGGATAACTGGGTAAATATTTAGCCCAATTCCGCGAGAACGCTGACCAGTCATTTTGAAACACAACAATTATTCTGAAGTCTCATCTCTTCTTGAGAGAGGAAAGGCGTCAAGCGTACAATGCGTGCCACATTTCAGTGGATACATTCAACAACAGATAGTTTCCATTTAACAGCAGCAAAGGGATTCTGGAGATGAATTCTTGTCAAATGGGTCAGATCAACTTACACGCATACTTCTGCCTGAAAAGGTTTGATCTGCTACAGTAGTGAGCACCACCTACATTTACTGTAACAGAGAAATGAGAGGGAAAAAAATCTCTATTTTCAATTTGGGTATTTGACAGAACTCTGTGTCCAGTGAGATATCCTTTGTAGGGTCAGTCATTTCCCCTTTTGGGGGTACTCGCACGAGAATACAGAAGAGAACATTGCTTTAAAAATAGGAAACTGTGATTGCAAAATCACAACATTTAGCAGACAGACTCAGGGGAAGATACAGTAACTACTTTTAACTCATTTTTTATATATTGACTAGATTTCCAGTTGGGAGTGTCCTTTTTATTACTTACATCATCTAGCTGGATTAGCCGTTGCCTTGCCTCAGTACTTACCACACGCTCTACTGCATGTTCCAAACATGACTATTTCAAACACATTCCGTGAATTACTGAACACATAAAAGCAGGTATGTGCCTGAATCTGGCACATTATGTTTTATAGATCTTGATGTGCAGGTGGCTCCCAACAGAACCCTCATTTTAGTGCACAGCTCCTTCGGGGGGAGATTTCCCCTTTGCATGACAAAGGGTGACAACATTGTGCTTGGTTCATGGAAGCCACAGAACCCTCACCATGTCTATACCCAGGAGTGGCCCAAGGCCGGCTGCAGCAACTGGCGCCCTAGGCAGGGCGGTGCAATCGGTGCCCCTGCCTGAACGGTTGTCAATGGCTGTGACATCATCATCGGGCACCCCGGCACATCGTCATCAGGCGCCCGGGCCAGCGGCACCCTAAGCAGCTGCCTAGCCCACCTAGGCTCACGGGCCGCCCCTGTCTATACCTATGCACCACAGAGCAATCTTCTGGCATTCCATTTAGTGGGTCTAACAAAGACCTGCTAAATCACATACTGAGAACACTCCTGGTCAGCGCCAGTACTCCTCGCAATCACAAGAGTGAAAGAAGCCAACAGGAGCATTTACTCCTGTCAATCTCCCACTGTGAAAATGGTACCAAGCTCATCTTAAGATATGTCAACTCCAGCTACATTATTTACATAGCTGGAGTTGCATATTTTAAGATGACCTTCCAGGTCTTGTGTAGACCTGGCCTAAGATTACACAAAGAAGGAGACGAAGGGTGGACCCACAGCCGATGCATAGTATGCACAAGGGGTTGCCTATTGTCCACAATCCTAGTTTAGAATTACCTAGGTTAGAAACAAAAGTGGCAAGGAGTCCTGTGGCACCTTATAGACTAACTGAAGTGCTGGAGCATAAGCTTTCATGGGCAAAGACCCACTTCGTCAGATGCATGTTCTGTGCCCACGAAAGCTTATGCTCCAACACTTTGGTTAGTCTATAAGATGCCACAGGACTCCTTGCCGCTTTTGCAGATTCAGACTAACACAGCTACCCCTCTGATACTTGACACCGAAGAAACAAGACAATTTAAAACTGGGTAGTGTTTTCTGTATCCGCACAACAGGATTTCAGGTTCCCTGGGTGACAGTGCACACATGATAATGGCTTCCATTTTTTATTTCAGCAGTTGCCATAGTGAGGCTTCAAACCTTTGCAGCTAATATCTGCAGGCAAACTCAAGGCATTTGATAATACATGTGTGAAACTAAAGCAAAATTGAACAGTCATGTGAAGAGAATATAATAGAATGAATTACCAGGGATCTCTTGAATGACAGACACAAGCACCCATCTAAATCCACAAAAAGCTCATCATCACAGAGTCTAGATGCCACAGTGCATGTCTAGATAGTTAACACTCAGGGCCAGAAGCTATTGTTAACCATTGGATACTGGTAAACTCTCTCATTTCTTTTCTCCTATTCATTAGGTACCATAGAGGGCAGCTTCTTTCCACATGTGCAAAATTTGAACAAATATTTACCTTTAACATTTCTGCCTTTAGCATACCTAGGAGTGCTTTACTGCGTGGGAAGGTGATGCAGCGTGTTACAAAGAACATGCACACTGAGCTCTGTGAGTGAATTTGCTTTTGTTCTTAATTGCCTATTTTTTCCTTAGTCTAAAAACCAGTTATTTGGGCTGAAAACATAAGGCAGCATGTGCATACAATAGTACAGAGGATATCACTTGTTTGGCAAGTTGAAAGCTACTCAAGGTGTTTTGGGTTTTTTGATTTTAGGACTGAGGGAGAAGGTTGGCTATAAACAGCATCTGCCTGTGGACATGGCTCAGTATCTAAATCCATGCTCTTTATGGATAAATTGAGGGAGACCACAAATCCCAATCTCCATGGGTTGAAATTCTGCATGCACCTAGATTTTGAAGATAGGTGCATTGTATAAGCTGTGATAACTAACTAAATAAAATATAACAATCTTAATTCTCTCTCTCTCTCTCTCTCTCACACACACACACGAATCTTTCTACTGCGGGAGTATGATAATATAATAATTCAGGCCTACTTACCTATATGTCTGATAACTGTTCCTGACTTTGATGCCTCCTTTGATAAAGCTAACCATGTTCTCATCCTGTTGGAAGGGAAACACATTTAGCAATGAGCAATTTAAAATGCATTTGCCTTCTGAAAATTAATACGTGACTGGGAGCAAAACAAATTAAGATGCATCGGACAGGATGAGTGTCTCTATGGAGCAGTAAATGGCTACGGCTTAAGATTTTGAATTAAGCTATTTTTGATTGTTTTTATTCTCTTCTAAAATATCAGATTTTTAAAAATCATTTCTGTGGTCAATTGCTGTCACTCTGACACCTGGATCTTTAGTCCAAATGAATCACCACAAGAATATTGCTCCTAGCTGCTGTTAGCAAAACGTGCAGGCAGCAATGGCTGTTTTCAAAGAGTGAAAAGAACTTCACATGTGTTTGTCCTTCAGTATGATTAAGATTCAGACATTCCTGGCTCCACACAAACTACAAACTGCTGACTGATTGCCACAGATCTTGCAGGATGCAGTTTGGTGTTGTGAGAAACTTAAGTTATGTTGGATGTACTCTCTTTTTTGCTACAGAATGTTAATGTGTTAATAGTGTGTAGCATAGCCATAAAAAGCAATGTAACAAATGCTCAGATACTGCATCACAAAACATAAGGAACAAGGAATCTGAAAGACCTGGAGGGCCTTGGAGTTAAGAATTTTGACTCAACAGATGAGAATTTTCTTACTTGATAATTTTCTGTTAGCAGCTTCTCTCCTCATTCATCACTAATGGATAATGTTTTTCCCCCACCCCCACTTGTGGGATTCAGAGCCAGGTCAATATTGGTGCTGCAGATTCTAGGTCTAATCTCTTGCCCTGCAACTCAGGCCAGCAGAAGAGTGCTCCAGATAATTGCAGAAATAGTCCAGGAGCCAATTATTAGTATCAAGACAACAGCTTGATATAATATATACATTAAATTTACGTTTAAATCTCCCTTTAGAAAAAAATACCTTTGTTACCAATCATCAGAGGGGTAGCTGTGTTAGTCTGGATCTGCAAAAGCGACAAGGAGTCCTGTAGCACCTTACAGACTAACAGATGTATTGGAGCATAAGCTTTCGTGGGCAAAGACCCACTTCGTCAGATGCATGTCTGACAGGACTACTTGTCACTTTTGTTACCAATGGTATTTCAGCCATTTACCAGAGTACATGGGTAGTCTGAATGAGGGAAGAAGTTGCTAACAGGAAGAAAATTACCAGGCAAGAAATTTCTCATTCTGCTGCACAACTTCTCTCCTCATTCATCATTAATGGGAAGTAACAAGCAGTGAATCACAGACATGATGATGGGGGAGGATAAGTGGAGTTGAATTATTATAATACATAGCAGTGGAGAATGGGAATTTATCTTCCCTGCCCTTTAAAGCAAGATCTTTGTAATGCAAAGGATTGTGTGGTAGCCAATCCAGGCACACCTTCCTACCACAGGATGCCTCTGCAGAGGAATGGAAACTTACTTTGCAAAACTTCCTCAGATGAAACTCATATCCCATCCCAATAGCAGTAGGGGCCTTGTAGAGAAAGCTTTAATTTCCACTCTGTAAAAAGTTTCCCAGATGCCTAGCATCCCAGCTGCTGCAGGATTTTAACTGCCTGTCGCAACTTTGAGGTCTGAAGGCCTAGAATTTTGGAGGGAATGAGATGAACAGTGTGTATGTCCTCATTATACTTGAGATATATCTTTCAAATGCAGTGAACGCACATGTATGCCGCAAGCTTCCAAAAGAGCATTCAGGATTGGAATAAAATGATGGGAGAACTATTTCCCAGGAACTGTGGAAAAAGGAATTTATAGTGAATTAAAAGGTTTCTGGAGCAATAACTTTTTTTTTTTCATGAAAATGGCAGCATGGTTCTTGTATAGATAGAGGCATCAACACCAGAATCTCTCTTACAGAGGCCACGGTGACTGAAAAGGCTTGACATGGGCTTATCTAATCCGTCATCCTGATTAATTTTGACATCCAATGGGGGGAGGGGAGTAGTGGAGGGAGGGTCCAATGTGCCTTTCTAGGATTAATTCCCACTTTTCTATGGTACTTAGATGTGCAGGACGCCAATCAACCATCCTGGAGAATGTTTGTTATAGCCAATGTCAACAGAATTTTACAGTTTGTCCTGCTCAGCTCACCACTGGTGAGGCCTCAGCTGGAATACTGTGTCTCAGGGCTTGTCTTCACTACATGGAAAAGCACCGCTGGCACAATTGATCTTCCGGAGTGCAATTTAGCAAGTCTAGTTAAGACTCGCTAAATTGAACTCGGAGGGTGCTCCTGCTGGAGTCTGGTATTCCTCCTTTTGTGAGGCATTTGCTCCCGTGGGCCTCCTGCTGTAGGGGTGCCACCAACCTCTGCTTAAGGTAAGCCGACTCCAGCTACATATTCTACATAGCTGGAGTTGCGAACCTTAAGCTGAACTGCCAGGCCTAGTGTAGACCTGGCCTAATTCTGGGTGCCACACTTTAGGAAAGATGTGGAGAAATAGGGGAAAGCCCAGAGGAGAGCAACAACGATACAAGGTTTAGAGAACCTGACCTAAGAGGAAAGGGTAAAAACACTGGATATGTTTAATCTTGAGAAAAGATGACTAGGCGGGGATCTGGTAACAGCCTTCAGATATGTTAATGGTTATTATAAAGAGGACAGCAATCAACTGATCTCCATGTCCAGTATTATTATTTGTATTATGGCAACATCTCAGCTCGATGGGCACCATGAAAAAACAAATAAACAAAAAACAAAACCAGTCCATTTTCCAAAGAGCTTTCTGTTCCCCACACACTAGAAATGTAATGTGACCAAATCAATGAATGAAATTTTCTAGTTGAGTTCTGACTGGATACAAAAATTTCTCAATGAGACTAAATGAGCACCCTTGCTGAATTACATTTTCCTTTCCAATGCCCCTGCTGGAACGGATGGTGATCTGGGATTGGATGAAGGAGACCCTTCTTAAAAAGGCCTGAAGTTTTCTGTCAGAGCAATGGATGTTCCTGGGCTGCCAATCAAGTTCAGAGCACCTTGTAGGTCACTGGAGGGCTATGGGAAGATCCTTTTCCTCTTTTCTATATCTTTTTATGCAACTTATTTTGAAAGGTAGCATGTTCTGATCTGTCCAGGACATTATTTCCATTGTCATGGAGCAGCTCTGACTGCTTGCAATGCCTTATTTTTTGGAAGGGTTATAAGCACTCATGCGTCCATCATTAGCAAACATCTAAGTATGAAGTAGCAGGAGACTTCTCCTAAGAATATCATAATTGTCCAAAATGTGGTTTCTTGCACCATCTTCTGAGGCAGATTCTGGCTACAATCAGAGGCGAGATAAAAGCCTAAATAGACTACTGGTCTGAACTATGCAGTCATGTATATATGTTTTCATTCTGACAATCTGGTCAGTGGTGCATTTAAACAAATTAAATGAAAGTGGATTTTAAGTTTTTGAAAAATTTGTCTACCTTGCACAGCTTGCTTGGCATGTTGTTTGTTCTTACCTGCCCACAAAGAGACTTACAAAGGTGATCTGAAGAGGACATCTAATTTTGCTCCATACCCAGTAAATAGCTCCAAGTCCTTAAAGGAATATCTGGAGGGTGCGTTTTGAAAAATGTCACTAAAAGAAGCCAGTATTTGGCACCAGCCATCCTAGCTCCAGGAGATAATTGGCTAGAGAGGACGACTGCCAGGAAATGACGGATACAATGATGTTTGGATCTTTATAAATCTTTATCTTGGTAGAAAAAGTAGGGTCAGAGCCAAATAGTTTTGACCCTTAGCTCTATGCCCACCCATGGCCAACATGCCAGTTGGTGCCCTATCAAGAGAAATGGACCCATTTATTCAGGATGTCAAAGTGTAGTTGACTAAACAATTAACCAATAAGCCTGAGTTTATCGGTTAAGCAATTCCCTGCATTGGCTTCAAAAAGTTCTTCTTAATTTTGAACAACCAGTGGGTATGTATCCTTTCCAGCTGCTGGTATAGTATAAATGATAGGGATGTTAGATGTCGATTAACTGAATAATCATGTAACCGCATTACATTTTAGTGGTTATACCACTATTTGATAGTCCCTGGGGTGAAGCCGGCAGCCACTGTGCTCCCGGCCCTACGGCTGGGGGGACCCCCCCCGCTCCACCTGTCCATGGGCTGCCCGAGCTTTCCAGCCACAGAAGAGGCGCCGGCATCCCATAGAGCAGATAGAGGCAGCAGCGCAGGAGGGAGGGGGAAGCAGGTAGCTCCATGGAGCTTTTAAGATGGCTCCCACTCCCCACTGCCTCTGTGGGAGGCAGCAAAGGTGGGGGAGGAGCCAATACATGTGGACAGCCCGCTTGAAAGATGGCTTCCCATGTGTACTAGCTCCCGTCTGCCCAATCACCCTCCACACTGCTGCCTCTATCAGGCACTGGCTCCCACCTCCTCCTCCCTTGCTGTCTCTGTATCAGAGGCAGCAATGGGGGGAGAGTACGTGTAGTCGATGGGATTAACCGATAAACCCAGGCTTATCGGTTAATCGTTTAGTCAACTACACATTGACATCCTGAATAAATGGGTCCATTTCTCTTGACAGGGCACCAACCGGCATGTTGGCCATGGGTGGGCATAGAGCTTTCTACAGGGGAGTAGAGGTTTCAGGAGTGGACCAAGGCCTTAGAAGTCTCTCCAGTCAAAGCTCATGTTCTGGCAGCAGGAGGCCTGTGAGGCATGCAATGCCCAACAAGGCCCCTGAGAAGCTGCCTGTAATAATTCACACACTTGTGTTTTCTGGGCTACTCTGCTGCTATAGTGAAAGGCAGAGGGCGCTCACTTCCAATGTGCTGTACCAGAGAAACCAGAGGATGAGAGCATCAATACTCCAGAGATTCCTCACTCCATCAGGAAAGGTAGAGAGGAGTTAGATGCTGAAATGAAGTCACTATTGCACAAAAATCAACAGAAAGATACAAAGTTTGTATTCGCTACTGCATCCCTATCTGCAAAAATGAGCTGCGGATATCTGCAACCACATTTGTGAATGTGGGCACCCACAGATATAAAGCGGGTATTTGTGGATTTGCAGGACTCTAGAAATTAACATTTGAAAACAAAATGGTTGAAAGAAACTGAACTGTCAACTTGCACTGCAGCTGGAGGCAGAAAGTCTGGTGGCCTGAGTTGAAGGGTGGATGCTCTGGAACGAAGCCCTACCAACACCACTGGACCACCTGCAAATTCCACAATTAGTTCAACATGGGAGAAATATTTTCTTGCAGCTGATCATTTAAAACAATGTTAAACTTCACCCAGGAAGGCTGAAATACAATTTATTTTACTTAGTGGGTGTAAACACATTTCCCTGTATCAAGTTATATATGCTTAATTTTTCTATCTTAAAAAAAAACACATAAAAACATTTTGGCTACGTCTACACTGGCCCCTTTTCCGGAAGGGGCATGTAAATTTCACTCGTCGTCGTAGGGAAATCCGCGGGGGATTTAAATATCCCCCGCGGCATTTAAATAAAAATGTCCGCCGCTTTTTTCCGGCTTTTAAAAAAGCCGGAAAAGAGCGTCTAGACTGGCCCCGATCCTCCGGAAAAGGGCACTTTTTCCGGAGGATCGGGGCCAGTCTAGACGCTCTTTTCCGGCTTTTTTAAAAGCCGGAAAAAAGCGGCGGACATTTTTATTTAAATGCCGCGGGGGATATTTAAATCCCCCGCGGATTTCCCTACGACGACTAGTGAAATTTACATGCCCCTTCCGGAAGAGGGGCCAGTGTAGACGTAGCCTTGGTGGTATCATAACATGTCCCCAAAGAGTTTAATGTGAATCATCGTGCAGCAAATGCTTACAGAACAATGTGGCCCTGTTTACTTTTGTTCCACGGGGCTAATCTCTATTTCCATCATTTAGCTGAAGTGTTCCAAGGCTGCTTTCTGTTGTGGAGTTAGGAGAAGTTTTCAGAAACAGGACATTTACTTCTGTTTCATCCCTGAAATTCACAAAGGTCCTGTTTGCTAAGGTCTTGTCTCCACTTATGATCGATCTTCTGGGGTTCAATTTAGAGGGTCTAGTAAAGACCTGCTAAATCAAACACTGAGGGCACCCCCATCAACTGTGGTACTCCTCACTGTTGTGAGGAGTAAAGGAAGTCAACGAGAGCGTTTCTCCCATTGACTTCCCACTGTGGGGCTGCCCAAGAAAATTGATGCAAGCAATTCATGTAGATGGAGTTGTATACCTTGCACTGATTTTCTCTGCCAGTGCAGACCTGACCTAAGAATGGAAAGAGCCAGTACAACAAGACATGCCTGAATACCAGTCTCCCAGGGAAATCCTAAGTCTGATTTGAGAAAGCAATTGCTGACTGGCACCAATGCTCTGTGTTTCTCACCTGAATTTAGCAGATAAGCTATTCTATTATAGGAAGGAACAAATGGTATGAACTATAAGCCTTTGACTTCCAAAAAAATTGTACTTCCCGGGAAAGGACAAAGTGGCTTTTTATACAGTTTTGGTAATCTTCAGTAAGCATCAAAAATAACTTTAGAAAGTCTTATTAAGTATAAGTAGTAAAGCACCTTCGTTTAATTTTTGAAGTTAGTCCTTGCTTCCATGAAAATTAAAAAGGTAAAACAGAAAATGAATAAAGTCTTGTGCATTCCAGCCTAAGCAAAGTTGTGCAGGGATGTTGTGAGGAGAGGGAGCACACATACAGGGTGCTCTTTGTGCACAAGAGGGAGAAGAAATTATGTCCTTTCTTTTAAATTTCTTATGGATGCATGAATGGTTTTAAAAAGAAACATACCAGGGGAAATAGAAGTTTAAGACCAGAGATGCCATAAAAGTCCCTTTACTGAGATATTAAGACTTGTCCGCCTCTCCAGGAGAAGCAATTGAGTCAGGAACAGAAATTAAGAACTCCAGCTTTCATTCTTCTGCTTTAACCACAGACTGAATTTAAGTGAAAGCGACTGATGTTACCACACAGGGCAAGCCAAACTTTTATACTCTAAACAGAAGGCACACAGAGGAAAAAGAGGGAATGCCTTCTCGCCTGTAACACAAATCAGAACTGTCTAGTAACAACCATCAGTGGAACATTGAGGGGAGACGGCCCTTCAAGAACAACAGCAACAAACAACTTTCTTAAAGTAGATTAATTAATTTCATTATTCATTGGAATTGGGAGGAAGCAGAAGAACAGACTCGCTGGCATGCTACAGTTGCAATGACCATTGTCTTTCTACTGTGTTATCCCATTCCCATTCATACACATGCCGCTGTGAAACCAGGTCTATACTAGGGATGTTAATATGAGGGTATTTAGCTAATCGAGTTGTTGATAAATTTTTTATCATCTATTGATTAGTCGATAGGCAGCCCGGCTCACTTTTGGCTCGCGCCAGGTGCAGGACCAAACCCCGCTGCAGCACTGCAATTTAAAAGGCACTAGGAGCCAGGCAGCCTGCCCCCTGGTTTCTAGTGCATTTTAAATTACAGAGCCACAGCGGGGTTTCATCCCGCACCTGGTGTGAGCCAGAACCAAGCCGGCTGCCAGCCCAGCCAGCAGCAGTCCCTGTGCATGGGGAGTCCCAGCGGGGATTTGGAACCTCCTTTGCACAGGGACGGCTGCTTCATGGCAGCAGCCTCCCCACTCTTGTCCCCCCTCCCCTGATAGAGGCAGGAGCAAGGGGCGGGGTGAGACAGGCGGCATTATGGAGACAGTGCTGGTGGGAACCGGCTTTTAAGATAGCTCCCCCCAGCACCAGCTCCTGCTTCCTCCCCCATTGCTGCCTCTAATACAGAGGCAGCAAGCTTTTCAGGTAGTTGACTAAGCCTTTCCATCCCTTGTCTATACAGTAATTCCTCATTTAACACTATAGATGCATTTCTGAAAATGTTCGTGTTAAGTGAAAACGTGTTACGCGGGGTCAATTTTCCCATTGAAAATAATGGAAAAGGTGGGGGGTTGCATTTGCGCTTGCAGATCCAGCTTGCACTTGTTAGTAGCTGGGACTGGGACATAAGGTTGGGGGAGAAAGGGGACTGGGGAGGTGTTTGGCTCTGGGGAAGGAAAGGGGAGGACAGGGGAGGGGCTTCCTATGCCTCCTTACAAAGTGGCAGAGGTTTGCTGCTCGCAGTGCCATTCCCCGGTGACCCCCTCTGGCCAGATGCCTTGCGTCCAGCCAGAGGGGGTCACCGGGGAACGGTGGTTGGTTTAAGGAATGCAACACCAGCTATGTAAATAACACACAGGAGTCGATATATCTTATGCTGAGCTTGGTGCCATCTTCACAGCGGGAGGCAGACTAGAGCAAATGCTCCTGTCAGCTTCAGTTACTCCTCACAAATCGAGGATTACCGGTGTTGACCCTTGAGGCACCCTCAGCATTCAGTTTAGCAGGTCTAGTAAAGACCCACTAAATCAAACACCAGAAGATCGATCTCCGGTGTGGCAAGTGGAGACATGGCTTCACTGCAGTGACCTTCCACCCAAAGACTTCCTTCCAAGTAGATCATTCCTAAATCATGCAGAGGGAATGCTAGTGAGAGCTGCAAGGTGTGGCCACCCACACAGACTGCAGCTGTCTCTACAGCACTCATACCGAAAAGCAAGGCCCACATCTGAGGCACCTAATTCCTATTGATTTCAATGGAAATTAGGTGCTTAAATACCACAGAGGAGATTGGTTTAGAGACTTGACCCAGTAGAGTGGACCTGGGTGGCTTGCACAGGTTTATGAAAATGTGCACTTGTCAGATAGAAACCTTTATGTGGGACATTATACAATTGATTTTCCAAGCCTCCTAGTCCCCTCTTGCTTTCATGAAACAGCCATAGCTGAGGGTACCATACCTGCAGGAATGTGAGAGCCGCTCTCTGAAGCAAGCATTCAGCATAGCAAATTTCTGCATGAATTTCCTCTAATATGAAAGAGTGGGAATAGGGGAGGGAAAAGACACCATCAGAAAACAGATTAATTAAAGAAGTAGTATTACACCCTCCCCTCCTCCCCCAATAGGAAAATAGAATATAATAAATGCAAAAGGTGAGAAAACCTCAAGGAGAAAACCTGATCACAGGTTGGTTTCCTCCAGGTTATTGAATTAACCCCAAATGGTAGTGACACAAAATTGTTACTAAGAGGCTGCTTGATGGCTTCATGAAACAAGATGAGGGGTCTTAGCCAGATCTTGGCAGAGCGGTGGTCTAGATTGCAATAGTTATCACCAGAAACTGGAGCACTTTCAGCATAGATACAAGGACAAAGGCTCTATTCAATGAAGAATATACTCGATTTTAAGCATCTAAGTTATCCCATCCCTATCCACTGAGGCATGTAAGCAAAAACACTATCCTGCATAGAGACGGGATTAGTCGGTGACATACTGAAGGTCAAGTGTGTATTTAAATGCTTAGTGTTTTCTCACCCTAGAAGAGTTACCTGCAAACCAAGGAGAGGCACTTTGGCTAAATGTCATAAGCAAGCATGCTTTGCCCCTCCTGAATTCTAATCCTGGTTCTGATGCCCTGGTGCTGAACAGGGAATATGTTTTATGACTGATGAATTCTGTATGAGATTATGAACTTTGTGTGTTTGTGTCAGGCTGCACACTCCATTCTGAATATGCACCCTTTTGCCTTCTCCATGCTGTTTGGTTTTAAATTCCAATGGCAGGTAGAAAAAGAATACTAGAGAGTATCAATTGCTGGACATCTATTCACATTAGACAAAAAAAAAGGTCCCTGCCTAGGATTAGCAGGGGGCAAGTCACTTTGGCCTCAAAGTCACTTGACAGGAGTTTGTGCTCATGTGGGGATCTGGCAAAGCTGTCACCTGACACAGGGCACTGACGGTCTTTAAAAGGGTAGAGAGGCTAGTCTGCGCGATGGCCAGCCATGTTCTCCCGTTCATGAGGGGGAGACCATTCACCATGTAACAGCCTGCATGAGGCAGGGGACACCTTCCCTGCCTGCCTTCCTAGACCCATAGCTCACAAGGGAAGGATGAAATAGAAAGCGAGGGACATTGCTGTTTCAGATGTTTATTATTTTCTAGGATCTGTACTTACCTGTGCTTTGCATGATTAAGGATAAAAGATCATAAAGGTGCTAGACTTGGCAAAGCGCATGCGTTGACTGCTTCACAACTACTGCGTGCCCCTAAGGGAATTAACCTATAAACGAGAAGCTTCACATCTCTAGGGAGCAGTTCTAGGGGATGGGTGGGTTTAAGTCTTGGGCATTCTGAAAAGTCAGCACTGAATTCAGAGGGGTAAGCAGCAGGTCAACAGGTTCCGACACAGAGCTGGTGGAAGACAGAAGATCAGCACCTTGAGGGTGGGTGGCCAGACTCCATTCAGGCGCCAGCCATCCAGCACAGTAGAGATTTAGATTAGAAGTCCTATTGGGTGGCCAGGAAGAGGCACTCACTAAGATCTGTGACTATCCGTCTTTGCTAGATCATTTCGTTTCTGTGCCTCAGCTTCCCCTTCTGTACACTTGCTTCACAAAAGTGTTGTGAAAATTAGTCCATGTTCATTCAGTGCTTTGAAAACAAAGCACTAGGATTGCTACATGCTATCGGTGGGTGGTTGCAGCAGCAGGACACATGGGTCATCAGCGTAGCTAAACAAAGGCAGAGACTGCAAACATATCACGTCCTCTACCCTTTTCTCCTGGGCCTCAGGAGATCAGACATTTCATTTGGGGGTCGAGAGGCACACGAAAGGGCGAAGAATAAGGAGCTGGGGAGGAGGTGTGCAAACCTCTCATGAGCAGTTCCCTCTATTAAGGGCAGATGTCTTAGCACCAACTTCCACGGGCCTCATATCAACAGATGTAGTGGCCGGCCTCTCCACCCCTCCATCACTCAGCAGTTTTGTTTTGCTCTGTTTTGGGGGCTAGTCTTTTATTTTGTTTTTTCATTTGGCCACTTGGGGAGCAGCCAAAATATTTTAGCCTGCATTGCAGAGCACCTAGGTCAGGCCTGCATCTCTCGGCAGATTAGTATGGCGAGATTAACTTGAGAGAAAAGCTTTATTTTGCACTTTTCCCACTCATACTGGAGACTATAATGACGTAACAACAGCAACTGACCAGAGGATGGTCACACAAGATAAAAACAGCAGTCGCTCCAGAATGAACCTGTGTGGTGCCCTCCCTAACCTCTTAGCCTAACCCTCTAGCACAGTGGTTCCCAAACTTTTCAGCATCACACCCCCTTTTTGATTTTTGAGAAACCCTCGTGCTCTCCTTCCTCCCGGAAAAATAGCAGCAATACTTGTTGAGTCAAAAAAATATATAAATATATATATATATCAATCACCCTTTTAAGAGCAGAGCAGGCATTGCCCTTTTGAGGTGGCCATTTTCACATGGTATTTTCTGAATTTTTTTACCTGATGGACCGTGCTCTTTCTTGGGGGAAGGGATTGATGGGGGGGGCAGGCTGGGTCGCCTCACACCCCCCATGGTATTTCTTCACTCTCCCCTCCCCCCGGGGAGCCAAATGCTAGGGACATGGATCTCATACAAGGGTCCCAAAGATCTGAAATGCATATTTAGTTTTTGGAAATTGAACATTAAATACTGCAGTCTTACTTAAAGCGAACACAATCCTACGTGTTAAACAGGGTCCTTCACAAAGCTGAGTCTCCTGAATGGATTTCCTTCAGAAAGCACCTTCAGCTTGTTTTATGCAGTTTTACAGTGTTGCAAACTCTTGAGATTTATTCACAAGTTTTGAGCTATTTTGGGGAGGGAAGATTTTGAGCCTAGGCTCCTGGAGTTATATGGGAATCTCAGATTTGGTTTGGTGTCATTGCATTATTATTCAATGTCTAGCTCTCATGAACATGGAGAAAAATCTGAAAACTTAATCTAAGTGCTCTAAAGGCTCAGAAACCAGAAGACAAATAAAAATCACAATATTAATATTCGTTACTGAATTTCATTATTTTTATCTCATGATGTTTTGACACTTAAGTCATGACTTTTAGACATTTAGAGGCTGACAAAACTGTAATTACTGTCCACTTCCTACCATTAAGAGTTGATTCCTCTGATAGTCACGAGATCCTCTTCCACAAATTATTAGTGGGTTAAACTATTTTGCGAGTGTCTCTCTACATTGACTGAACTGCACACATGCTGTTGCTTCCATGACCAGATACAATCCAAGTGACAGACCAGATCATGAGACAAAAATCATTCAAAATTATTTCCCTCTTAAATGTTGGGCAACAGTGCTAAGCTATTTTAATCACATGACCCTATCTCATTTAATCCAACTGTGTGTCATGCCCTGGATGAGCAATTATATTGTCTGTGTACGCCCACATTCAGTTTTTATCATCAAAGAAAAGAAAGAGCTAATAGAGCATTACATAGCCATTTAAATTCAGTTACTCGGTTCCATTGACTGAGTTGCTCTGATGTAACAAGGCTAGGACTTGTACGTTGCTACGTGGAACTGGAATTACACTGTGTAATCAAACTGATGTCAGAGAAGCAGCGCCGAGTGGGGTGAGCAAATTTCAGATTTTATACATTTTCAATAAACACATTCCTAGGTGCAAACAGCCTTTCCTAGTCCTCAAAGAGCAGAAAACCCCAGTCCATCATTAAACCTCTCCAAGATGCATCTTGAGCAGTGCACAAGTGCACAGAAGAAAAGACTGGATTTGCAACATGTCTGGTGGTTAACGTCAGGGGCCTCAAATTCACGGCCTGCAGGCCATCTGTGGCCCAAGCATATTCACAATCCAGCCCAGGAGGCCCTGAAGCCCTACTTTGGCAATATTGCACAGAGAGAGGCAATTTCTCCCAAAGCTGACACCCGACATCTTGAATGCCACCCAGAAACCCACAGGCATCCAGTGCAAAAGATCCCCAACACCACCCATCATCACCACTGAATCTGTAAAGTTCACCTGGCACAGTCCCTTCAGGGACAAGCACAGAAAAAGAAAATACTGTTACATGAGCAGATTGAACCTTACCTTCAGTAAAGTGTTCAAGATTCTGTCTGTGCACAAGGCTGTTAAAAGAATCAGCTACAGTTGATTTCTTCCTAAACCTAATGGAAAGAAAAACACATTTATTTGTTCATTCTGAAAAAGAAGAAAGAGAATCACTGAAGAACTATACCATTGAGCAGGCTTTCCATATTGCCACAAAGACATCTTCAGCTTGCACCAACCCACTGTTACCTACCTTTTAACATTGTAAATTGCACCAGAAATGCAAGGCTATGAAACAGAACATGTGGAAAATGATCCGTCTCCCACAGCATTCTGAGATTCCCGTGTGGCTTGTCCCCTGATGACATGTATCCATGCACTATTTTCACACATATGTAACATACCTCAAAGCAAACTTGGGCTGGCAATGACCATTTCAGCACTAAACATCAGCTGAAAGAGGCCATATTCTGACACATTGAAGATCTCCTTATTCTGTGATTAGTCCTATTGACTTCAATGGGATTACACATGGAGAACATACATCTACTTTGGGGTACTGTATTGCTGCCCATCAGAGTGGTGTCTGAAAGCCTCTGATGAAAATGGATTGGGTACTTTTCCATTGGGTCTTTTCCTTAAGCTCAGAAAGCTCTTCAGAGAGGTGCTTTTTGGGTGTTCATCTGTAGCGAAAGGGGAGCTGTTAACTCTTGTTCTGATTTTGGTGGGACAACAGGAAGGTTTTGCAGTGTTCTATATAAACAGAGTCTAGATTAATCTACTCTACACGTGCATTCTGCAGCTTGAGCCCTTCAGTGAACAAGGTTCTTCTCCAATTCTTATGCAATTCGTTCTGGGCTTTGTGACCTGTGTGAACTTAGAGACATGCATCTGTCTTGGCAATTCACGGACCAAGATATGAATCAGATAATGTGGACCAGCCACTTGCAGAGTAGACCAGGGATGGGCAAAATAGGGCCAGTACAACAGAAGCTTCAGTCAGTCTCCCCTCCTGCCCCGCCTCCGCATCCAACTCAGAAAAGCTGTCTGCAGGGCCCTATTTGTCTATGAACAGCTGTGAGTCTGGGGTGGTATCATGGCTCCTTCCCCACTCTGGCATGATAAATGCAGAAGTGGGGACCAGTGAGTACCCCGAAACCTTATCTACCAGACTTTGGTATAAAACTTCCCCTCAAAATCTTAAAACTCTAGATTTTGGGAATAAAACTTCCGCTGCCACCACCCAAGTATTGATGTGAAAAATCAGGGGAGAGATCACTTGGGAAATCTCAGCCCTAAAGTACAAAGCAGGACACAACCATTAACCAATGCCAGGTTAATAAAATAAAAGAGAAAATGTATATTATCACCACAATATTCCTGTTGCAAGCATAATGCCTAGATGGAAAAGTAACAAATAATATACTCATGGAGAAACTCCATGGGCCTAGAACTTAGTTACGAAGAAAAGCCAACCATTTCTTAAAAAGTGCACAGACATCAGATCCCATACCCAAACCATAAAACAATAAAACCTAATGGAGTTATCTAAACTTTACCCTACTTACAGAAAGTGAAGAAAGAGTCTTTTCTTGGAGGGAGACAGTGTCTGTCCCCCTCAATAGCTGGAGACAACTGCCCAGAGACAAAGGAGGGAAAAGCCAAACATTCCTTTGTCCTAGTTTGAAATTCCTACCTACATTCCTATTGGCTGAATCTACCTGACTTATGTAAGATGAACCCCTTAGTTCCCAGGCTGCTGGCTAACCCTCACAATCATGACAGGTGGTGAGAAGACACTTTGTACACTTCCCTCACCCCAAGCACAATCTCACAGGTCCCACTGTCTGGTTTCCGACCAATGGGAGCTGCCTGTTTGAAGAATAGGCAGCATATGAAGTACCCCTTCCCATGGAATTGCAGCTGTTGACAGACACACATGGCCCTGCAGCTGGCTACCCTGAGTGGCCTGCTGGGGGATGGAAGGCCGGGCTATGGAACCTGCTGAGCTGCTGGCCAGGATGTGCCCAGGTAACCGTCTCCTAGCCAGAGCCTGCCTCTGGCACCCCAACCCTTTCTCCTCCCCCACTCCTGCTCCCTACCCCACATAATTTAAATCCTGAGCTCCTCTCCTACACCTATATCCACTGCCCCAAGTCACAACCCCCTCCTTCACCCGAACTCCCTCCCAGATCCCACACCTCCTCCTGCACCCCAATCCCTCACCCCAAGCTCCCTTCTGCACCCAACCGCCATCCCAGACCCCACATCGCCTCCATTCATATCACAAAAGGTCCAGCCTTTGATCCATTTACCAAATTCTTAGAGTGCCCCCCTAGCAAACATTTTTGCCCACCCCAGTGTAGACACACCCAAATACAACTGAGATACAATTCACTGATATGGTTAGGAGTGAAGTGTTACTCATGGTGAGTCTATGTCTAAGGAAGCCAGTGCAACCAAGATTGTCCTCAAGATAAAGTGCCTCAGTTCCCTAAGAAAACTCCTCAGAGAAAACATATGCTAACAAAGATGCCTTGCAGCATGCCCAAATTTCAATAGGAGCTCAGAGTGCTGACTACTTTGCAGATTTAGAACATAACATACTTAAGAATGGCTCCACTGGGTCAGACCAAAGGTCTATTTAGCCCTGTCTTCTGACAGTGGCCAATGCAAGGTGCTCCAGGTAGAGTGAACGGAACAGGGAATCATCAAGTGATTCCTCTCCTGTCATCCATTCCCAGCCTCTGACAAACAGAGGCTAGGGACACCATTCCTACCCATCCTGGACCTAACCTCCATCAATTTATCCAGTTCCTTCTGAACCCTATTAAAGTCCTGGTCTAACCCTGATTCCTAACATTGTTTGCTTTTTTGACTGCCACTGCACATTGAGGGTATGTCTACACTACCCTCCTATTTCGAAATAGGAGGGTAATCTAGGCATACCGCACTTGCAAGTGAAGCCCGGGATTTGAATTTCCCGGGCTTCACTTGCAAGTGCGGTATGCCTAGATTACCCTCCTATTTCGAAATAGGAGGGTAATCTAGGCATACCGCACTTGCAAGTGAAGCCCGGGATTTGAATTTCCCGGGCTTCACTTGCAAGTGCGGTATGCCTAGATTACCCTCCTATTTCGAAATAGGAGGGTAATCTAGGCATACCGCACTTGCAAGTGAAGCCCGGGATTTGAATTTCCCGGGCTTCACTTGCAAGTGCGGTATGCCTAGATTACCCTCCTATTTCGAAATAGGAGGGTAATCTAGGCATACCGCACTTGCAAGTGAAGCCCGGGATTTGAATTTCCCGGGCTTCACTTGCAAGTGCGGTATGCCTACATTACCCTCCTATTTTGAAATAGGAGGGGAGTGTAGACATACCCTGAGGTGAATTAGGCTGAGGTGCTACCATGATTGCCTACTAAAGTCTTCACGTTAATCTTGCCCACAAATGGAGATTAGTGCTGAGATGTTACCTTAGAGATTGTCAGTGACTAGAGAAGGTTTCATAAACATGAGCCTAACAACCTCTTCCAATAAGACCCCATCGTCTCTCCAGTGAGCAGGAGCTCACTGGTCCAAAAGGCAGCCCATAGCATGAAGGTTTCCAGGTATTTCCAAAAATATAGTAACCGGTGTTGGTTAAAGCCCAAGAAGAGAAGACATAACATTTGCTCCTACCATGCATTTCTCTGCCAATATTGAGGCTGACAATCTGATTTCAAGAGATCTTGGGCCGTTTGTGTTACTGACCTACATTTCAAACACATTAACTCACTCCGCACTTTTCCCTTGTTCCTTTCACTGAAACAACAAATGGGATTAGATACAGAGATGATCTCTGAAATAATAAAGAAACTATCTGCTAACGTGGAATAATGTACTAAATTTTCAATTTATTCATTTTTCTTTTTATAGTGAAATTTGAAATTACACTGTAATAGCAGAACGCCACCAGTAAATTACAAAAGAAAAACAGAGGACCCATATTCACTCAGCTATTTTGAAGAATGTTGTTTATCAGCTACGTACTGGTCAATACCAATACTAGATAGCCTAATTCTCTATTACTAATGAAACATGGATTAGCACAAACTATATCATGGAGTAAGACTTTTCTACTTTATATTGCATGAATTTGTAAGTGCTATGTCTAAACTGCAGAGCTTTTCCGCCATACTGGAGGTATCCCGGAAAAGCTATGCCACGTCCAAGCAACACGTCTACTTTTTTGGAACAATTTTTCGAAAAAGCAGATGCGTTCGTTCGCTATCCTTGTAATCCTCATTGTATGAGGAAGAAGGGATGTGTTGAAAGAGGAGGTTTTTCCAAAATTTGGCCCCGTGTAGACAGGTCAAATTTTGGAAAAGCCTCTTCTGAAAGAAATGCGGAAAAAGATGTGCAAGTTGTGGTTTGCAATTTGGGTATCTTTTTCCGACTTTTCTTTGCAGTCTAGACATAGCCTTAGCCACATTTGCCTGTTCAATATGATTTGGCTTTGAACCCCTAATGAATAACAATTTATACTTATAGTTATTACTCACAGCTAATGAGTGGATCAATGGAGTGGCAGGAACATGAATGAATATGGAAGTGCATAGCTGAAGAAAATGCAGCAACAGGACAGAGTTGTATAAGATTAAACTATGCAAACTTGTCAAGTACAGTGTAAAATTGTACATGCTGCCTTTCTTGCCTGCTAATAAGAGGAAATGGAAACTACATGCAATTTCAGCAGTCTCAAATGATCCAAAATGACAATTCAGACCCTTCCCCAGAATGTCACTTCACTTTTTCTTTCCTTCTCTGCCAATACTGTGAGATTATTTAAGTTTGAAAAGCTAACTTTTGCTACTCTCAAAAATGCATGCCTCTTTTTGCTCAGCTGGATTTCACCTACCCTAAGATAGTGATAAGAAGTGGAAAGGCAGTTTCCTTAGCTTGATTGTTTCTCAGTCTAGTTTACTTGTTTTGATCAGAAGAAGGGCTGGGTGGGACCTAGCTTGAGAACCACTAACCTAATGAGTGCATCATGATTCACACCCATGCATACGCCACATAGTACTTTGTAGGGTTGATAAATTACAGATATTCGTACTAAAAACCTTTACGTTGACTCCTGCTCTCCCAGTTTAGCTGAACAGGAATGTGTCAACAGATGGGGTCTGAAGCAACAATGAGTATTGTGTACATAGCATGCAAAAGCAGAAGAGAAATATGCTCAGTCATTATATTTGAGTAAACTCACATGTTTATGTAGTGCTGCTACAAAAAAGCAGTGACGTGCTCTCAAACAAGCATGAAATAGCTAATCAGTGTTAGCAAATGAGCAGCTATCCAGTGACCAGAGCGCTCTGGAGCACAGTTATGTAATTCCCTTAATTAAATATTTCACAAAATTAAGTATGGAAAGAATTTGAAATATCCCATAATGCAAAAGCTTTCTGTCTGGGATCCCAGAGACACTCTTCATGGTCACCACTGCCTAGGAGGGCTATGAGGTGACGCCAAGCCTCTCCTGCTCTCCACTCTCTGGGCTGTGTTAAGCATCCAGACCCTCAATGGAGTCCAGCCACTGCCCAAATTTTGAGGTTCCTAAGCGCACTCTCAGGACACAGACCTTCGATCTAGCACCTTCTTCTGAGCGTCCGAACCTGCTGCACTGCCATCTTATACACTCTGGGCACAGCCTGGGCCCTCAATACTTAAACACACTGCTCTCCCAGGACTCCACCTATCAGGTGGAAAGCCTCTGGTTTACTGTTTAACTCCCGTGGGGGTGTGCAGTCGTTGTGTAGCACAACACACACACACACACACACACACACACACACACACACACACACACACACGCACACACGCACACACGCACACACACCCCTCTCTCTCAATCTTATCCATTTTATGCTCTTTTCTCCTTACTCATACAAAACATAGGAGAATACAGATCATAAAAACAAGAAGACACCCTAAACACAGTGTTCCTCATTCCTCACCTCCTTTGGGAGATCATCTGTGTTTTGTCAGTCAGGGTCTTTTCTCGTATTGCCAACCCTGTCCCTGTAGCAGCCTCCTTCGTTCCATTCTGGTGCAAATGCCAGTTGCCATTTCCCCCTGTGAGTGCCTTTATAGATGGCTGGGGACATCTACCTTTTTTGTTCTCCTTCTGGTAGCTTCCTAACTCCCCTTCCACCTTCAAATAAACAGAGGAAGTGTCTTCCCCTAGCTACAGCAAATCCACCATCACAACCCTTTGGGTGATGATCACTCACCATTGTCTTTGGCCTGGCTGGCAGAGACATGATACAACCCTGCTAATGCAGCATTGCTGTAGCCATGTGGGTCCCAGGTTATTCAACAGACAAGACGGGTGGAGTAATATCTTTTATGGGACACATTTCTGTTAGTGAGAAAGACACGCTTTCAAGCTTACCCAGAGCTCTTCTTCAATTCCAGGGCAACCACATACATATGACACAGTGATTTCATTATACAATTTCATAAAATCATCCATAAAATCATCCACAATTCAGGAGTGGTACAGACAGAATCCTCAGTTCATCACTCTTACATCAATCATTCATATAAACAGGGGCGGATGAGAGTGCCGCGGGGTCCAGGGCAGCGCCGTGAGGCCCCGGGCAGCAAAATTTTGCGGGGCCCCCCCTTTGACACAGCGCATGCGTGGGGCCTCGGGAAGCGCGGGGCCCGGGGCAGCCGCCCCGCTCGCCCTGCCCTAAATCCGCCGCTGCATATAAGCAATAACGTCACAGTGAAAACAATGGGACTCGGTTAGCCTGTTGCATGAAGCAACACTTCTCTGACTCTGTCCCCCTCCTGCACTTCCATGCTGCCTCCAACTCCGGATCCCCCATGAGCCCCTCTTCATCCCTCTCTTCTGCTCTCCCTCACTCTCCCCATCTACTCATCAGTGTGTCTGCTGCTCCCCACAGTTCCTCTGTCCTGTCCACTCTCCTGACCCGGAGAGGGACAGCCAATTTGCCTTTTGGCCTGGCTTCAGCTCAACTGCAAACAGTAAGGGGAAGCAGCCAACTTGATAAAGGGCAGCCTCACACCCACATGTGGATAGACCACAGGGAAATGGCGGCCATCTTGCTGGCCTGAGCCCCAGTGATTGTAAAAAGGAGATAGGGGCTATTTTGAAAAACAGAAGATTTGTGGGTTGGGGCCTTGAATCATGTGTTCATAAGACAGGTAAAAGCCACCCCAAAATCGCTCGAGTCAAGATAAAATCATGGGAGGTGGCAGTAGTGCACATGTCCTTCCTTCTGCTACATGACCAATCTTTCATGACGTTAGAGGAGGACATCCTGACAATGCACTTCTCCACACTTACTTTTGACAGGTGACTTGAGCTTCTTTCATCATGTTTCCGGCATTCAGCATGTGCTGGGCATCAAAGGTCATCATCGCTTGCATTTCCAGTATAGTGGCATATGTCAATGCATGATACATACTGCCCTTCGTTCTGTAACAAAAATGTGAGACACATGAGCAGAGATGACACAAACTTAGTACAAGATTAATTTAAAAAGCATTCTAGGGGCACATTAATCTGATGGAGACTCAATTGGGTCTAAACAAATGTACCTTAATAATCAAACACAATATGGTACATATAAAGGATTATTTTTTCCTGGACAATACAAATACTCTGTATATGGCCCAGGTTCAGATTTGTGCATCAAATCATTCGCCTACCTAACTATGCTAAAATACTACAGTGTAGATGCTTAACATGTGTCAGTGCAAGTCTGGCTGCCCAAGAGATGTAGGATCAGGCTCTGAAATGTCTTTTATTTTGGGTTAAATGTTTCTGACTGTGTTCTCTACTGAATACCATGACGTGCTACAAGCTGAGACAATCATCCTTCTACTTGGGGAGAGTTACATAGAATAATAATAATAAAAAAAGATGAGTAATGTGATAACACAATTATGGCCAAAGTATATTTAACATGAATCTGACCTTACTTTCAGAGTTGTTACAGATAGTCAAATGTCTCAGCCTTTTATTTTTATCTATATATTCCCATCATCCTTCCCCTCCACTTTGTCCAACGTGACTATGCTTCCCAAACCACAAACACTGTGGGATTTCACATGTCACCTTATAAGACATGTTTTTCAGTCCTTTAATTATTCTCATGGCTCTTAGAGCCTTCCCCAATTTTTGAATAGCCGTTTTGATGTTTGGAAACCCCAACTGGACACCATATTCCAATACCAGTCAAACTTGTGCCAAATATCTCCACTACTACTTGCTTCATATTAGTCCTTCTAGCCACGTCATCACACTGGAAGTTCACATTTATTTGATTATCCACCTTGATCCCTTAGGATTTTTTCTCCACAGTCATTAATTCCCAGGAGAAAGACTACCTTTCTGCAAGTATGACCCATACGCTTTGTTCCTTGATAGAGGATTCTACATTTGGTTATATAGAAACACATTCCTTGCACTTAATTTACCAGGTGAACTGCATTGCACTGTATCAGTGACTTAATGTTCTTCATTATTAATCACTCTCACAAAGTTTGCAGATCACACAAAGATTATCAATACCAGTTTTATGTTTTCTTCCAGGTCACTGATAAAAATAGAGTAGGGCCAAAAAATGATACCTGGAGGATCCCACTAGAAATGCACACACTTATTGATAATTATTCATTCACAATTATATTTTGAGATCTATCCACTAGCTCTCTTTTTCTCTATTAACATATTAAATTTTAAAATGTATTCAGAAGATGTGGTGGAGATTCCCATAACTGAGCCATTCATTTTAGGTGACAGATTTGAGGGACTGTCCCAGATTGGGGATGGATTTGGAACAAAGTGATAAATCAAACACTAGTAAGTTACCAGGACCAAATGGTATTCACCCAAAATTATGAAGGAACTCAAATATGAAATTGCTAAGTGTGGTATAAAATTTCTCACTTAAATCTGCCTTCATGTCAGATGACTGTCCGATAGCTAACGTGATGTCAATTTTTTGTAAAGGCTCCAGAGGTGATCCTGACAATTACAGACCAGCAAACCTAATTTCAGTATCAGGAAAATTCACTGAAACTATGCTGATCTGAGGAAGTGGGTTTTGCCCATGAAAGCTCATGATACTAACTAACTAACTTTGTTCGTCTCTAAATTGCTACAGGACTACTCATTTTTAAAGTTACAGACTAACACAGCTACTCCTCTGAGACATTAAAACTATAGTGAAGAACAGAATTATCAGACACAGATGAAAAAAATCTGTTAGGGAAGAGTTAAAATGGCTTTTGTAATGGGAAATCATACCTTACCAATCTACTGGAATTCTCTGAAAAGGACAAAAACCATGTGGACAAAGTTGATCCAGCAGATGTGTGTCCTTGGACTTTCGGAAAGCCTTTGACAAGGACCTTCACTAAAGGATCTTAAGCAAAATAAGCAGTTATCGAAAGTCCTTTCTGGCTTTAAGAAAACATAGCTCATCCATTGAAGGTCAGAACTGTACCTATAATGAAAGCCTTTAACATTCACTGTCTAAACTCTTATTTCTGCTCCTGTTTGTCTTCTCAGGAGTTTGGCTGGCAACTGACTTCTCTAGGAAATCTCACTCCTTTCCTTCCCTAGTGGGGAGGGATTAACTACTCAGGGCAGCTCTATACTAAACTGGAAGGTTGGCTTAAGATACACAACTCTAGCTACATAAATAACGTAGCTGGAGCCAATTAACCTTAAGCTGAATTTCTCCTGTGTCCCCATAGAGGGAGGTCACTGGGAGAAATTCTCCTGTCAACTTCCCCTGTTGATGGGGGCACCCTCAGTGTTCAATTTAGTCAGTCCTTACTAAATCCGCTAAATTGAATGCTGGAAGATTGACCACCGCAGCATCGATCCTCCATTTAGGACAGACATGGCTCAGAGGCTTTACAAACCAGAGATGACCACAGATCCAAGGGTCCTTGTGATGAATGGGAGCGGTACTCTTTTCTGGGCATCCCAGCTATTCAGTTAACTAAATTGCTGCAAGAGTTAAATGCACAGACAGTGGGTCCTAGAGAGTCTCCACAAAGTGTTGGCAGGAAGCCAGGAGAGCCAATGAAAACAAAGTATAGCGTTTTGTATTGGAAGCAAGACCCTTCTGCTGCAGTCTGTGTGTGACCTAGAGGCCTGGGAGAGATGAATTAAGCCAAGAAGCCGGGCATGGAGGATCAGTGGCATCTGTGCCTTGGAAAGGACTAAACCTTAGAGGAGGGATGGGGAACCTTTTTTGGGTCGGAGGTCAATGACCCATAGAAAAATAATTTCGGAACCACACACAAGTGAGAAGCTGGAGGCGGGCTGGAGCACTAGCATAGGCTCCCCAATGCTGGGAGAGAGCCCTGAGCCTTGGGGGCTGGATCCAGGCAAGTCGGGGGCTGCATCTGGCCTCCAGGTTTTAGGTTCCCCACCCCTGCTTTAGAGCAACAGATACGTGAGTAAAAAAGGGAATGTTCAAGCAGATGTGATCAGGTTATTTTCTTTATTTTTGGATTTGTTGGACTCCTCTGTGCCGATCCCATGTACTACCCTCCCCACCCCGTACACTGTAACTTTTCCCTGAATCCCAGGGAAGCAATTCTCTGTGTTTTTAATCTGCCTTTTTTCAGTTCTGTGTGCACAGAGACACAAACCAACAGACCTCTCTTACCTAGTCTGAGGACAAAAAAAACCCAGTCACACAGAGAACAATCCACAGGCCAGATACATACAATTCACCAGCTCCCTTGACCAGCTCCTTTTAGAATTTCCTGTTCCCCACTTTTGTTTCACCTGCTCAGGAGTTCACCAGAGAGACATATTATAGCAGATAGCAAACTATGATTTGGGGAAAGATACATTATAACTTTCAACAACCACCTGAAGGATGTAAAATATCAGGAAGGGAGAGGAATTAAGTCGGTACAAGGGATATTACTAGCAATAATGCGATGAGGTGGAAAAAAAAGGAAAATTGAAACCGAATATCAGGGGAACCTTCCTGACAGTGATCTTCCTTAAGACTGTGGAACAATATTTAATCCTCAACTTCAAGATCTTACTCCAGACTCCAACAATGGTCACTCATCACCTGGTGACAACTGCTCTGTTTTGTATTGCTCTAGACTGTTCTCTCTAATACCTTATAGCTCTGCTCTTCAGAGCAAGGATGTATTATTTCTTCTGAGTGTTGTACAGCACCACAGACCCTTAATGCTATATAAATAAAAACATATTTCTTCTTTCTCTCCCTCCTGCTTATGCTCTTATCAGTCTACCACCTTATTTTGAACCTTCTTTCATCCTGTTCTCCCGTTTGTGACAGCCACTCCTTACTCATTCACTGAATGTCCTCACTTCCCCAAAACTTTACAACTTCATTCTTCCATAAAATTCTGTGTTCATCTCCCTAAAAGCATCTTCTCTGTGTCTGCCATAACCCAAACTATTGCTCCAGGGTTGTCCCAGTTACATTATAAGTACTTCATGGCCGAGACCCTGTGTTTTGTGACGTTCCTTGTGCATTTATGGAGCTATAAAATAAATGATCGCTCAAAGGACTTAGAGGAAGTACACTTGCTCGGGAATTTAATTAAAATGGATAAAAGGTGACAGATTAATTGTGGGGAACAATCCTACACTGAAAGGGAAGAGATGGACTAGATTACTTACTAGGATTTTTTCCACCTTTAAAGCTGTTCAGCTCACAGTCTCCTGTGCTTTGAGGGAGTAGTTGAAAATGTTATTTTTTTCACTTATTTTATTCTTATTTTGTAATGTTTTATGTTTGGCTGTTACATAACGATGGATAATCTCCAACAAACACCTTATTAAATTAGATATAATCACATACACTAATTTTTCCTGCTTAAAGTTATTCAGAGAGATGCAGTTAAGCCTACTGAGCTTTCGGGAATACTTTCATAATGAGATAACATAAAACGTCATTTTAACTGTTGCCATTTTAATCATTAGTGAGAACTCCGTGACATGTGGCTTCCAGTCAGGACTGTGAACAGTGCTCCCTGTAAACTGAGCAATTGTGCAGCCGCTCAGAAGCAATTCAAATGCTGCCCAGCTAATTAGCAGAGGGCCCACAGCTAGGTTGCTTTGTTTGTACAGGTGGTTCACATTCACACATGCTTCGGTGCACATAGAAATGTATTCTGATATGGATAGAAAAAATTAGCAGGAACAATTATTGTGAGACACACAGATCAGGATCACCAAGACTGGAAGGGGTACTGACTTTTGTTCCAGATATTATCAAGAATGACAGGAAACAAGTAGAGCCCAGCGTGGATACAAAAATCTGCATCTGCAGCCATGATAATTAACTTGTATCTGACCTGCAATCTGCACTCCACCTTCTATATGTATCCACACCTGTGCCAGCAGTGATTCTCAACCAGAGGTCTGTGGCCCAATAGGGAACCATGAGCAGATTTCAGGGGGTC